TTGAGCGATGAATTCATCTTTTGTAATTGATGGATCTTCAGTCTCAAGTATTTCTATTCAGAACTTCCATCAAGTTAATCATATTCTAATAGTTTCTTTTTACGCTCAGCAATATTGTGTCATGAATGATGTGTCACATTGAATTTGTCTATAGTACTTCTGTGACGCGTTAGAGTAGACGCGTTGTCTGTTGTTCGCTTAACCTTAGTTTTCGATAACGATAACAAATCCATTATTTATCAAGTTTGCGTAAGTTATCGATAGATAAATAATAAAAAGGAAGGAATGTTCTATTGGAAAAGTAATATATTATAGTATTTGGTACATAAAGGAATGTTCAAAAAGATAAAACAGCCCTTTTCAAAGGACGGATTTGTTAATATCTTTATAATGATGCATATTTTTGTACATCATTCCATCCATCTGCCGCCAAGTGGTGCCCGTCTGACGATCCGTCAGGCAAAGGCGCTTCGCGTCATTTTAATCGATCATAATTAGACTCGCAAATTAATTGCGAGATGGCCGTACGTGTTTGGGTGGGACGCGTGGGTCCCACTCCGCGCCGCCGAATCCAGCCGAAGACCCTCGAGCACGTCCGAGAACGAGACGCGCTGTCGCCGTTCAAAATAATATCCGAATATCTCCGGATTTCTCCGAATTCTACCGGAGATAAAAGAGCGCTGATCTCATTAGAACGGTAGCGGCGACTTAATTACCGCTCACGATCCGAACTATTCCGAATCCGCCCGAATATCTGATTATGGCGGTATAAAAAGTCGTCTTCCGCTCTATCAAGTCAGATCTTCCTTGGATAGAGACTTGCTCCTACGAGCCGATCCGCGCCCCATTCCTAAAGACGAAACTGAGAAAACGAGATGAAGGAAACCCGCTTTCGTCTGGAAATTCCCGACAAGCGTCTTTCTTCTCCGAATTGTCGTTTTCCGCAACTGCGAGGAAGACCACGAGTTGGAGTGTTCCCTGCTCCGCTCGGATGACCGGCATCCAGTTGCTTGATTATATTCCATCTCGATATCCGCTCAAGAAAGTCGCATCGTTGAAGACGAGGGTAACTCGCCTGGAGATTCCTGGCCGATCGCTCTTTTTGAGCCCCCGATAAAAAACGTGTCGTTAAGTGTGAAAGCAATCCGTCTCCGCCTCGGGCTATACTGGCTATATCGGCTGATCATTTCGAAGCACAACCGAAAAATCTGAACAATCCCAAAACCTTCGGCCGGACACTAGCCATTTTTACGCGCCGGGACGAATATACCTATACCTATCGGTGATACGTAAGCGAACGCTGATGAGTCTGCCTCTCCGCGAATTAGACAAAATTATTGTGACAACGGCGTGATTTACGACCACAGTTGCTAAGCGACAACGAGCGCGTTGACTCGCGGTCAACCCACTGATCGCCGAAAATCGCATGCGAATACCGCGACCATTGTTATAAATTTGTCCCGTTAATCACCATGCTCTGGCGATCACCGCGAACGCGCGAACGGCGAGCGTCGAATTATACCGCAACAGTGTTCTCGATACATCAGCGTAAGCCAACAAACATTGCAGACAACCTTTTAAATTCTTATTATTCAATCTTATTGTATTGTTTTCTTTCTGTTGATTTATTATAATAAACCTCAATTATTAAAATAATTTGGAGCCTCAATAATCATTCTAACCGAATCCATCGCGACCGGCGAGCTAGCTCAAAATCAAATCCGATTCAGACGAGGAAAAGCCGTTCCGTTTTAACTTTAAGCAGTCTTATCAGATTAGGCCTGGTTCGGATTGCGAATGATGAGATGAATATCATTTTAATATTGAGATATTCGAATCAATTTACATAAAACACATACAACAATTATAAGCGTGGCGACAAAAAAGAGATGGACAGACAGTTATCGTGAGTATTTTACACACGAGTATTATACGCGAGTGTTACAACCGGTGTTCCGCTCGGCGCTGCCGTCACATCCATTACTAATTTAATTTAATTTAAAGATCGTTCTTTGCCGACGCGGTTGTTAAGCGGTTGTCTAAAGTGGTTGTTATTACGCGGAGTTGGACAGACGTGTGTTGTAATTGCTTCGTTATTAATAAAATTTTCAAGTTTTTATTAAGAAAAGAGTTGCCATTTTGCGCGCAGCTTACCCATATAACACAATTCGCGAGTGAACCGCCGCGAGCGCGACATTTTGGTGGCTCGTCCGGGATCAAACGGTTCAATCGGACAGATTGTCCTTAATATGGCGGTGCGACGAGCGCCGGCAGGGACCAACGGCACGACGAAGAGACGAGTGATTCCTGCAAGAAAGAGAAGCTACAGATCGACTCTAAATGGAAGATTGTTCTTTTGACGGAGGAATGGACCAAGGTAACTGGATGTCAGCGTTAAATGCCAGGCCAGTCATTAATTAATTAATTTCTTTTAAATAAAATAAATTCTGTTTTTTTCTTAAATTCACATTTGCGCGGTATTGAGTAAAAGAAAATACTATAACGTTGACTTTTTTTTTGGCACGGTTTGATTTGTTGGACGGACATAAGTGTTTTAAGTTTGGCATGGGCTTCAATGTTTTGGCTTTAAATAGGAGAGAAATTAAACAAATAGGGAGTTAAATAATCTTCGAAGTTTTTCCGAGTGTGCGGAAGGTCGTGTCTGTTAGATGAGACTCATTTAGATATGTAAATTCCGTTTCGAGAAGGCGTTTTAGAGTGGATCGTAGTTTTCATCAGAACCTGTGAGGAGATTGATTGTTCTTTCCGTCCGAAGAAGGGAAAATGATAAGTTTCTAAATATTTAAAAATGTTTTGAAAGAAATAGATACTCGTTTTTGTTTAAGTTTGCTGTTGAGTTGATATCTATGGCGGGAGATCTTCTTTTTCGAAATCCGAACATCTGGCTGAATAATAATTTTAAGAAGTCTGCCTCGCCCTCGGTTTTTTTAAACCGTAGTTTTTCCGAGGGACTTAGAGCGAATGCCGAGGCGGGGACTTGGAGTGTCCGAAAGGACGTGAAGGTTTATAGAAGCTTCCCTTCCCCCCTCCCTTGTCCGAAGATTCAAAAGAGAAGTGCGCAAGAAGAAGCATCAAGAAAGAAAACAGAAGAGGGAAGATGACAGCGGAATTTCCGGCAGGAGTGAAGTTGGTTTGGCGCTCGGTAACCCGCAGCAACAACTCGGAATAGAGCAAGAAACCAACAGATTCCCTGAGAACTTCATGGAAGAAGAAGCCGACTTTTCTGCGAGGGAGTTCCCTGGAATTGTCGGGATGACAATTTCGAAGAGGAGAGGGGTAACGTTACAACCGAGTGTTTCGCTCGGCGCTGCTCTCACATCGATTACTAATTTGAAGATCGTTCCTTGTCCACGCGATTGTGAAACGGTTGTCTAAGGTAATTGTTATTACGCGGAATTTTGAGGTCGATGGACGTGTGTCCGCGGTGTTGTAATTGCTTCGTTATTAATAAAGTTCTCAAGTTTTTATTAAGAAGAGAATCATTTCGCGCGCAGCTTACCCGTAACACGATTCGCGAGTGAACCCGCCGCGAGCGCAACAACACGCGTGTATTTACTGCGGTTAAGCAATGCAGCGGCAAGAATATTTACAGTGATTAACGTAATGGATTTATAATTGCTTAAGGCGCGGATGCTTACAAAAAATAATTTCGTTCAGTATTACAATCGATTAGAGCACGGATTTGTATAACGAATAGCGCGATCGGTATTGTAATTAAGTACAGCATGGATATATGCACGTATGCACAAAATATGTATATGCATAAATAGCAAACAGTACGTAATACAGAATCGCGCGCTGAAAAATAATTTTCTTTCATCGTTTCCAAAGCGAAACTGATAGAGCGCTATCATTTCCACATTACCTTGCGGTAAATAACACGGCGCATTTTTTTAAAGTGGTATCCTTAATAGGTCTACTCCACTCTGATATTTTAACTTAAAAAATAATTCAAAATGCCTTCCTCATTCTCGTACATTCTCATTCAAATTTTTGTCTTTGTAGTAATATTGCGCGTCTCATAGTATATCATTTTTAGCGTAATGATATTGAAACCTATAAGAATTGCTTCTCGTATCTCAATTTCTGTGGCATGTCTATACTTGGTTAAATCTTTAATATAACTCCACTTGAAATAATTTAATACATTAAAATCTGGAAACCATCAAATAATTGAGCCATCTCGACCATCTATCTGTCCAGATAATACACATTTAAAATTTCGCGTACTTGCCGTGAGAAATGTGGAAGAGCCTTGTCATATTAAAAAATCAACACTATATGAAGAGAAGGAATATTCTCGGAGAAGGAATGTCCTCGAAATCCAGAAAAAACTATTTTCTAAACAATATGCATACATTTCTCCATTAATGATGAAAGAAAATAGAAACCAATCTGGAAATTGATGAAAGAATAATTGAAAAAAATAAATAATTTGAAAAAAGAAATACAAGAGAAGATTTCTTATACTCGTCAATCTACTTACGATTGGATTTCTTATTATTCCTGCCATACATTTATCATCCAACGATTTTGAAATGTATCCTCGCAGATGACGTGCGGATTTTCCTGTTCCTAAAACAGGAAATTACGCTTGTTAAAAATGCTATTTGATGTGCAAACAGCCTCATCCATCCATAGGGCGCGGTCAAGAAAAGAAGCATTCTTTTAAAAATAGCGTTTATTATTGATTTCATTCTTTCCTATTCTGTTGTTTATCCATAGCAATATGTACCCAATATCCAGTGAGCGTTCTTGAACGTGCATTCTTTTACAAGAAATTACAAGAAAATAGTAAAGTATACTGCATAGAATATATAGATTATATCGATATGATTATCATGGGAATCATAGGAACTTTTTACAAAATGAAAAGATATTTATAAGACGTCTCTTAGTTTCGTCAAAAAAATAATTCTAAAAATATTTTTTCATCATCTTTTTATGGTTATCTTTTTGGTAAAGCGCGACAACTCAATTAAAAAATATCTTTTCATCTTATTGAAAATACGAAATAAAATAGATACTTTTTGCTCATACATAAATAATATACGGCACTGTTGCCAGACGAACATAATGAAATTCCATTTCTCGTAAATGAAAACTATATAGGAGAAAATAAAATATGCAGTATTATGATATTATTTCAACCATTCAATTATTTTTTAATGAAATGGTTTTGTCTGAAGACAAAAATAAGGCTCCATTCTATTGGGACACACGATTCCATTAAAAGTAGGTGAAGGAAATGCGCACACAAAGAAGAGTGATACATATGTGTTCGGCACTTTGACGTCCTTCATATACATTACATTTCATTAATCAAGTCTTTTTTGAACACAAAAATGTACAGAAGCTTGAAAGCAACGATAATTTATGTTATAGATTATATATTTGTCTGTATATAGCATATAAAATTGACATTAAATCGACTTGTCGATAATTAATCGAAATTCACATACATTTCTGGATCGAATTGATTCTAAATTTCGACCGATGATTGACCAGTAATCGATAGCGTTTTGAGCAATTATTTTTGGCTGGGAACGTAATCGATGAGAACAGAAATCTACATGTGTCTGAAAATTCTGGGAACAACGTGCATGTGTAGGTCGCATACTTGATTTCTCGTAATATACTATCGTGGTACACTAGATGCCAGAATGGCATCTACGCCAATTGTATCTCAACAACTTTTTGCAAGAAATCAAAAGTGAAGCATTTTTCGTGAACATATTTTTATTATCTTTATTTAATATTTGTACTACTTTTAACAAATATTAATTATATGTATACAAATATTAATTATAAATATAATATTAATTATATAACAAATATACAGGATTTCTTACGCAATATTGACGAAGTTTTTTTTCACAACCGCATTCTATAAATAGATAAGGCCATTTTCATATCAAATGATATGTTTAATTTTCTGGTTTTGAGAACAAAAAATTCGCATGTCATCTGCTAGGATGTATTTCAATATCGTTGAATGATAAATGTATGAGTAGCAATAATAAGAAACCGAATATATCCTAAATTCAGAAGTTCAAGAAAATTTTTCTCGTATTTTTTTAAACTATCACTCTCGGTAATTTTTAGATAAGTCCTTATTTTTTTAATGAAGAAATGTATGCACATTTTCTAGAAAATATTTTGTCTGAACTTCTTGAGAACATTTCTTTTGCTATAATTAGAGCTAATTTTTCAACATGACAGGATCTCTTCACGGGCCTCAACAAGTATATAAAATTTAAAATACGCATTCAGACAGATGAATAGGTTGAGATAGCCCAATCACTTGGTCAGAATAATCGCCAGATTTCAATGTATTAGATTATTTTGTATAAGATTATATTAAAAGATTATTTTGTATAAAATTATATTAAAAATATAGCATAATTGCAATAATGTAGAAACTGAAGTATAAAAAATAATTTTTGCAACTTCCAGTACCATCATGCCGGAAATGATGTATGTAAGTGCGATGCACAATATTACTTAAACGACGAAACTTTAATTACACGAATGAAGAAGACACTTTGATTTATTTTTACATTAAAATATGAAAGTGAATTACTAATCTGCTAGAGATTTCACTTAAAAAAAAAATGCGGAAAATGGAAATGATCTCTATCATTTTTTCATCATGAAAAATACGAAAAAAAATTTATTTTTCTGCACGCAATCCTGTATCATACATTGCTCGTTGTTCAGATGCATGTACAGATGCATGCGTGCAGACATTTTTTAAAAGAGGCACGTTAAAGTGATACTCTCGAAAGAAGAAAGGTCAATAAGATCAATAAGGTCAAAAGGGTCAACAAGATTAGTAAGATTCTTGGGCTCATCACCAAACAGTCTCAAAGTGTATCATTTTATTCTTCTATCCAAGACTCATAACGCCCTGAAATGATTTATTTCTAAAAGAATTTGAATTATTCGGAGGAATAACCATTTTTAAGTTTCCATTTTACACTTTTTTATACTTTAGAATAAATCAAAATGCGTTTCACATTCTAAATATTGCTTCTAAAATCACTTCCCTACAACTGCCTACAACTTCCCTAAAAACTGCACATATATATGCACTACACAAATGTCAGAGTCATCATTTTCCGTGAGGTACTTGACCTTCGAAAAGAGGCTTATTTTTTACAATTTCTTTTATGTTTGCAACCCTAGAAAATATTGTTACAACCGAGCGGTGATCCGCTCGTCGTTGCCCCGGAAAATCAATACTTCAAGGATCGATATTTTCAAACGGAGGATCGTTTCTTAACGATGCGTCGTTGGATGTTTGGTTTAACACGCTGTTTTATGTTGTTGTTTTACGCGAGAATTCGAGTTGGACAAACGTGTGTCTATGGCGTTCTAATTGTTCAATTGCCTTAATAAAGTTCCGTTACTTGATAAAGAAGTATTGTTATTTCGCGCGCGACTTACCGCATAACGCGATTCTTGATCGTGACCGCCGCGAGCGCGACAATATAATCCTGTTTTTGAGTTAATTTGTTATATTTCAAAAAACAGAAAAAACGGTAAAAGTCAATTAAAATTTGTAAAATAAAAAACAAAAAACTGTCACTTGTGCGATTGCGCTGCGTTCAATTGTTTTTGTGTTTATTCTCGACAATCTCAGTGATTCCATTTCATTCTTGTTCCATTGTTCGAGCTATGTGAAGCTTTCCTTATTCTTGAGATAAAATATCGCGTTTTCTCAGATGTTTATAAGCAGTTCGATAAGTCAGTTGATTGTTTCATTAAGTTACTTTTGATTTTACTACTTGCTAATATGCTATGCTTTTCTCTAATCATAAAGTTATACTTCTATTTGATCAGTCTTATTTTCATTACTTGTATTTACTAATATCAAATTGTTTTTTGATTTTCTATTTTTGTTTCTAATTAATTATTTTTATTATCTTTCTCAGGAAAACTCCTGATGTAACATATTTTCATTTCAATTTAATTAATTTAATTACTATTCAGTATTGAAACAATTGTGTCCGTGTTACAGGAAATATTTAGAATCAAAAAGTCATCTGCCAAAGATTCAAGATGAATGGGCATTAGACATTCTAAAACTATCAGTAGCTCGATTAATTCAAAAATATGTGATACTTGTCAACATTTTTCTGTTAAAAAGTGTTGAATAGGAGATGCAAAAGACAAGTTCATCTAATGGCTTATCAAACATTTCAGAGCCAAGTAAGACTCTTTTTAGAATTTAGATCCTTCCAATCAAAATGGTACTTATAAGATGATTCTACTAAACAAATCAAACTTACAATAAAAAGATGTTCGATTTCACAATCGAAGTGCATCATCTGTTATGATAGGAATAATCGTGTCAGAATCAAAGCCTGTACTGCACTAAAGGCATACATCAATATTGATGTTTTGATACTATCATCATCTAAGTGGCGGACACAGCATCTCCAAATGCGAGATGCTGTGTCCACCACTTAGATGATGATAGTTCTTTCAAGAAAGAAGCTTTGGAAAGAAGCTGTAAAAGTAACTTCTGATTTCAGTTACATGACAAAAGAATCGATTTTTCAGTTTTTAAATGATCACACAACAAGCAGAAAAAAAGAGTTAGATTTTGATGATTTCTCCGCGCTTGATGATAAAGATTACTATAAACTCACTGAATTGATGAAAGAGCAATTTAATGTTGTTGCGCAGTGCGTGTCAGAAGTGCGGTCTACAAAAGGTTCTGAGCGTGTTTGCTTAGCATTATTGCTAATTAAACTACGTACAGATCTTTCCAATACGATTCTGTCAACCCTTTTGAGTTGGAAAAACGAAGAGCCAGCCGAGGAATTACAACTGCAAGATCAGTTCTCATGTCTTTCTTTGTCCCTCATTATCTCGGTATTGGATCATGTATCCTTCACGTTAATCATTAACGAGCATACTATGTCAATAGCAAAAACACTATTTGCAAATGGAGAAGAAATGGAGAATGCGTGTATTCTTGTGGCTGATAGTACATACATTTGCAAAGGAATGGTAATTATTTACTTCAAAGACGGACTATTCTGCCGATAAAGGTAGGAATTTGATTAAATCTATGATGCTAGTAACAATTATAGGATACATCGTTGATGTCTTTGGTCCGTATTTTGCTGATGGCAAAAATAATGACGCTAGCATTCTTGATAATTTGATTTTAAAACAGAACTCAAAAAGCTATGTACTTGTTATCAAACATTGTTTTCATTGTTGATCGCAATTTTCAGGATTCCCTTGATCTCTTAGAATATCTTGGGTTTGTTGTTAAAATGCTCATTTTCTTCAAAAGGATTCACAGCATTCCACAGACGAAGCAGAACGAATCAAGATTCATTACGAAAATTCGATGGGTCAATGAATTAATAAAAATGTGGAAAGCTTTATGCGATGTTTTTCCAAACAATCAAATTCTGTATATCGGAAATTACATTAAAATAGTCTGCGCACTTTGTAATACTTTCCGACGTTCCAGAACTTACGAAAAATCCTAATGATCATTTGGTCGCCAAAAGAATATTGGAGCTGACTTTGCAAACTTCAAGAACGTGCTG